TATTATTATTATTATTATTATTATATTCATTGTTAAGTTCAATCATTCAAAATTCATTTTCATTGTTTTAAAAAAATTCAGTTAAAGTGTATTTGCAGTCTAAATAAGCAATTCGTGAAACATATCATAGTGTACATTATTTTTTTTAATTATGATTCATTAAAAACAATTCCTGTTTAAGGAAAGAGTGTCTTTAACCAATAAGGATACCTATCATCTTTAATATTGAATTCAGACTATGATTGTTAATTGTGATTTCTTTTACCAACATTACTTGAATAAGTTATTTCCGGTGTTGTTTAGGTTTTTGGATACCAGTTATTGGAATATGAAGGCAGGTACTTCATGATTAACAAGTATGAACCTTACGAACTGGGATTGAAGATTCTGAGGGAGCCGTCAGAACATAAAAAGCGCTGCAGCCTCTTGATGCTGGTGCTGTCTTTGATTTTTATGGAAGGTGGTACCTGTAGAGATGGTAAGAACTTGGATCGGGAACCTAGTAGGTGAAGAGGAAGTGTTTGACATTGACGAAATGTTTGGAAGAGGGGGGGGGGGGGGGGGCAACGATAAACCCCAGTACAGTTTTTTTCTAGTGTCTTTGTGTAGGTGAGAAGTTATTTTTTCATTGTTTAGGACTTCTATAATTAGATCCTCTAAATCCATAGTGATTGGTTGCAACCAAAAAGATGGAATATTTACCTTATTTTTGTTACCATGGTTTTACCACCTCTTTGTTCATGGTTCTCGTTTTTGCAGAGTGCATTGACTTTTGTAAATACAAAATATTTTGGTTGTTTTGACTACGGATTTGTTTGGTTTCTGAGTTGACAGCATTATTTTACTTAATTTGATTAGCACTGACATGTTTATACTCGTATAATAATAATAATAATAATAATAATAATAATAATAATAATAATAATAATAATAATAATAAATAATAACAATAATAATTTGAGTCACTTATAGAATTACAATTGTGTATGATGAGTCAATATGATATCTTAGGTAGAGAGGGTGAAGTTACATTACTGTATGATCAGTATTAATGGATCGTGCATCATTTGCTCTCTTAGTGTGGGAATCATTGTATGAGTTTGGTTTGTTTGAACA